TGATTCCGATCATATTTCAGAAACACAGGGAGGGGGTGCGTTTGATTCCGATCCTTTTGCAGAAACACAGGGAGGAGGTGCGTTTGATTCCGATCCTTTTGCAGAAACTCGTGGAGGAGGTGCGTTTGATTCCGATCCTTTTGCAGAAACTCGTGGAGGAGGTGCGTTTGATTCCGATCCTTTTGCAAAAACACAGGGAGGAGGTGCGTTTGATTCCGATCTTATTGCAGAAACACAGGGAGGGGGTGCGTTTGATTCCGATCCTTTTGAAGAAACACAGGGAGGAGGTGCGTTTGATTCTGATCCTTCTGAAGAAAAACAGGGAGGAGGTGTGTTTGATTCAGATCCTTTTGCACAATCACATTGTGGAGACAAAATGGGTGGTTTTGAATTTGATCCATTTGCTGAGACTTCAAAGAAAGCTGAGGCTGTGTTAACTGAGGATAGAAAGAGTGGGTGGGATTTTTCCAACAGTTTCTCAGCCATCTCTTCAGGGACCGGGGCTCCTGCTTCCAGCAATACCTCCTGGCAGGAAGGTAGTGGCAGCAAAAATTCTGCATCCATCTGTGGAACAGCAGCAGCAGGAAATAAAGAAGTAAACAATCCCCGAATTCACAAAGAACCAGAAAATTCAGACATGTCCGAAGATGAGGCGGCAAACCGGAGATTTGGAAAGTTGTACCAAGAGCTAGATACAGAAAAGGAAGAGGTACTTGACTCCCTTCCTTTTGTAGTTGAATGGTAGATTAGAAAAGAATAGAAACAAATTTCAAACAGACCTTTCCTGTCTACCACCCTCCCAGAGACTGAGAAACAGTGAAAGTCCTAAAATCTGGACCTCAGCCTGAGCTCCTCCTGCCTCTCCTTTTGCTTGCCTCCATCTCTTACTATCCTCTGCTTGTTCATTCCATGTTTACACCCATTTCAAAACGAGTCCATCTTGTTATTAGATTGGTCTTACTTGAAGGCTTCTAATATTATTAATACTAACATATATCTCTGGAATTCAATTTAGGTGACCAATACATTTAATGGATTTTCACAGGTAATTTTATTCTAAGCTTAAAGTAATTGGATCCAAAACACTGAAATGAATCGAGTTGTTGTGATTAGTGTCTGGGTTTTGGTAGAAGATCGTTCTTACTAAGTCAACTGAAAGTTTGGGTTTCACCAATGATTCGCTCTAATTCATTGTCATTTTTACTATTTTCTCTAGTTTCTACAAACAATTTTCAGACTTAGAGTAGAACAACGTAAAAAGATTAGAAGCAGGAAGGGGTCAATGCAGAGTTCAGAGATCACTGCCAGAGACTAGTGACTTTGAAAGTAGATGGCGAACCCAACAGCTTACTTCCCCAAAGCCAAGAAGCCTTTATTATCCAAGTAATGTTAGTCTCCTCTCCAAGTGTCTCTGTTCTATGTCACAACAATGTTTGATGAGAGTGTTCTGCAGATGTACTGAAAGTAAAGCAACAGCACTCCTGCTACATTTGAATTTTTCAAACGTAGCTCCTTAAACCTGCATTTTGAGTTAAATCTGGAGATGGTTGCTTTCTCCAAAGATTCTAACCATAGCATGTTAGAGAAGAAATCTGAGAAAACTTTCACGGGGGGAAATTCTCTATGTATGATAACTCTGTTGAAATCATGGATCTCACACTTTAAGTGGCCTCATAGGACCATAATTTTTGAAGGTGCAGTTGCAGAACTTTGATTGCATCTTATCCTACATCCCCATCTCTTAAATATTTCCCTTTTATTTGTGAATGCTAAAAAATGATGCAATTCTCAGTCAGTCAGTTGTGACTTGTTTTTCTCTTTTTATTAAACACATGCACTCTTAAGGATCCATCATTTTTCGCAGATTTTGATAAGATGGTGAGTTTTATAAACATTTGTGTAAACCCCCCCCACATCTTCCATCTAACTAAGTATCTACACACCTATTTACAGTTCTGTGAAAAACTGAATCCACCTCATTTTTCAGCAGCAGTAACCTGCTGTGATGCTTTCTGTGGGACTTTCTCTGTCACTGTGAAGGAGTTTATGTCCACTCACTTATGCACAGCCTTCTGAAGGTCCAACCACAGCATCTCACTCAGGTTGAGCTCTGGACTCTGACCAAACCATCGTAGTTGCTCCATTCGTTCCTGTTTCAGCTGTTCTGTTGGATGTTTGTGCTGCTGCTGATGGTCCGAGCTTCAGCTATGGGACAGACGGCCTCACACTGACTCTAGAACAGTTAGACAAGAGTTCACGGTGCACTAAGATCATCGTCCCTCCTCCACCGTGCTGACAGCTGCTCTCAGGTGTTTTTGCTGATATGCTGGGTTTGATTTTGTGCGTTATGGACAAACATCTCCACTTTGGTCTTGTCTGTCTGAAGGATACTGCTCCAGGAGGCTTTCTTTTTAGACAGAAGAAGCCTTCCCCTGCAGTCCTGCATGCTCAGGCTTTTTTTTAGTCATACTGTCATGAAGTTTAAGTTTAAACCTGCAAACTGAAGAGTCTGAGATGGAGCTCTTGTATTTTTTTGGAGTTTCCCACAGTAAATGATAAATGGACTTGTAGTTGCATACTGCTTTTGTGCTTTAGCTGACCACTGCAGGCTTTTTGCTTACAAGCCGTATTCACCATAGCTGGACTGGCCATCGGGCATACCGGGCATTTGCCTGGTGGGCCGATGTTTTTTTTTTACGTTTTTTTTTTTTTATGCTGGCCGATGTGTAAAAATAAGTCGGTTGTTTGGTGGTGGCTATGGCGGAGCTTCCACAGAGTCAGCAGGTGGATGAGAGAAAGGGGAGGCAGGAGGAGGAGAGACCCGAGGCGGCTGCCGGTCCGAGTGTCAGGTGAACTGAACTTCAGGTAAGAAGTTATCACTGCAGTGTATCTGGGTCAGATATAAACCAAGTTTAGGTGGAGTTTTTTTGCGCTGTGCTGACTTTTTACAGTCAGTTACAATAACTCGTACTGCGTACTAGCTAGCACGACGGAGTTTATATACAGCTGGGTGGGTTATGATGTTACTGATAAGGAATTGTATTTTACTCATAAGGTTAGTTAGTAGAGTTGCCAACCATCCCGTAAAAACGGAAGCATCTCGTATTCAGAGAAAATATTATGTGTTTCGTGTTGAGCTGAAAAGGAACAGTTTGTCCCGGACTTCAGCTACAATGGAAAAATGACACAAAGCTGGAGTTATTCTGTGTCTTCACGCTGTCAGCTGTTTCTTCTCTCATTCTCTCGCCCTCCCTCTCCTGTTGCTACTTCAATCATGAAACTGATCAATGATCAGCTGATCGTCTCTTTTTTTGTTTATCGCCCACTTTGCGCCAGAAAGAGGAAACCAGCGGATGTCGCGCTAAACAACAGCAGCACGTTTAAGCTTGATCAGCTGTTGTTAGAATTTATTTAATATTAGTTTCTAGTATCAGCTGATGTTTGCTGGAGCCACAGCTGTAAAGCTGCTGGTCATGATGTCGGTTTGGATATGTGGTGAGAGGGAAACATGAAGATGAAACCAGGAGATGTCCTTACTGAATCATCAGAGCTGAACAGGTGATGGAGAAACAGGTTTACCCTTTAGGTGACATGAATGAGTTGAAGGGAAGTTATGAACTGTTTCTGAGAGACAAATAACACCAGGATCCTTTTCTAAGTAGCTGACAGCTGGTAACTGTGCAGGGGCGGATCTAGCAAAGCTTTGCCAGGGGGCCAGGTAGGGCATTAACAGGGAGAGGAGGACACAAAGAAGCACTTTCTTATTCTCATTTAAAATGTCTCACTTTAATATATAATGATCAGAATCTTAAAGACCAAAGTTTTTATCTGATCTAAAATGTATAGAAATCATACATATACCAACAAGACTGTACATCACTGTCACAACAGTGTTTGTTTTCATTCAAAGGCTTTATGGCTTTAATACCCGGTGGGCCGGTCTCTAGTCAAAATGCTCGGGCTAATTTTTTTGTCCCAGTCCAGCCCTGTTATCCACCCACTCACACACACATTCATTAAAGTGGGTTTTTTGTTTGTTTGTTTGTTTTAAAAGCCAAAATCCCTTGTTAAACACTGTAATGCATGCATTGGAGGAAAATTCAGTATCTTGGCCAGGGATACTTTGACATTAAGGCTGAAATAGCTGTGGAATCGTCCATTGACCTCCAGACTGCTAGACAACCCACTGAACCACAGCCATCCTATGATCTAATGTTGGGGTGGGGTAAATTTGCTGTGATGTCCACGCCAGGGAAGATTGTGTCATTGTGTTAACATACACCAGAATGGTGCAAACCAGCAAATTTCCAGAAGATCTGCTCTTACAGAGGTGCTCACACTTGATAAGCAACCATAACTGGTGCATTTTCTTCAGCATCTGGCTGCTATGGAACCTCCTAATTTCTTAATTAAGGGTGTACTTAGTTTTTCACAGAGCTGCATATGTATATACTTATCACCTACATAGGTAACTACGTACTTTTTTTTTTTTACATCATGTAAATATATGATATCAGTCCTGAGATGTATTTATTTCTGCCAGTGAAAAGTGTTAGACTGACCTAAAGCTTAACTTGTAATCATATAACTGTTTAAATGCTGGGAGCTCATATTATGAATTCTGTGGCGTTTAATGAACATCATACTAAATATTGTGAAATGAAGTGGGACATTTAAAGTTAAATGCCATCTTTCTCTGAAAAAGAATGAAGGAAACAGTGAATCAAATGACGCTCTGGAAGCTGCAGAGGCCCAAGCTGCAGGCTCAAGAGAGCCTGCAGCAGAAGACAAACCTCCATCTCTCACTACTGGAGGAGAGCAAGATGAGTGCCCACCTCTTTTTGCTGGAGAGGAACCTGTATCTTCAACTGCAGAAGCAGAGATGGAGGAACCTCCAGCTCCCCCTGCTGGTGAGGTGGAAGAATCTGGAGCTGCTCCAGCTGGTCAGGACGATACAGACACACATTCAGACAGCCTGAAGGAGGAAAAGCCTGCTGTGAGTGGATAACCTTGTAAAAATGCTGCCTTTTGTGATAACCTAATCATCATCTCATCAATATCATCACTGTGACTTCCATCTCATCGTATCATCATCATCACTGAATGAGAAAATCATTGAACTCCACACTGGAGATGTGTCAGTGTGGAAATCATTCTTCTGTTTCCAGCCTGTATCCAGTGCGCATGAAATGTCTTTTTGTGTAAGGATTTTAACCCTTTGCCCTTCTCATTTCATGCCAACAAACCCATACCCCAATCTTTACCCTACCCCATCCACTTTATGACACAAAATGAACTCAATCTCATAAAACACTGCTGCTTTTTGAAACAAAACAAAAACAAAAGCCTTTTCAATTAGCATCACTGAGTTTAAATCGTTATATTCTACTGTTTTCCCAAAAAGTTGACTATGTCCATAGCGTTTCCAGTGGGATGACAATAAAATGTTTCTCCCACTGAAAACGTCCAGATGAACAGAATCAACTTTTTGGATTTTCTTACCTGGATGATTGAGCAGGTATCAACGCAAAATCTATTTTATTTTCCCAAAGTCAACAGTGGTATCTCCAGGCACAGAACAGGCAGAGGTCAGTGAGGTAGGATACTCCACTTCTTCTGTTTGTTTGCTTTCACTGTCATTTTTACTGTTTATCGGCAACAATTATTGAACAACATAGGTGTGAATGTGAGTGCGAATGCTTGTCTGCATCTGTGTGTTAGCCCTGGGACAGACTGGCGACCTGTGCAGGGTGTACCCTGCCTCTCACTTGAAGACAGCTGGAATAGGCTCCAGCCCCCCCATGACCCTGAAGAGGATGGATGAAGTGTTGAAATGAAATGATGAGAATGAATGCAGCTCTCTGAAAGAGACCTTGAAGAATAATGGTTTGACCCCTACGTTGGTCGTTTTTTGAAACAAAATTCATTTTTTTTCTGTGATTTTACACATGCTGAATTCAGGGTGGTGGTCACTGTTTCATATCTCTTTTCTCACATGTGAACAGGGAGGTCAAAGTTCTAATTTTACAAGAGCAAAAGTTATTATTAAATGTTTGTTCAAACATTCAATGGCCACACAAATGTTCTCAAATGGAAATGATTTCTGTCTGTAAACAGATTGCTTCTGCTGAACAGGCCAAAACTTCTCCCAGTGAAGCAGCTTCATCGGTGAGTCTAGCATCATCACTTTAGATTCAGAAGAAATCATGAAACTTAACTCAATGCCCGTGTGTGTGTGTGAGAGAGAGTGGCTGAAATTGTCATATCAGCGTGTTCTACAAACATACAAATTGTTCCTTAATTTAGATTGGACAATAAGATCTGATTGAAGTGCAGACTTTCAGCTTTCATTCAAGGGGTTTAACAAAAGTAATGCATTAACTGTTACACAACTTCCCATTTTCACTGGAGGAATTTGTCTAAACCAGGGGTCGGAAACCCGCGGCTCTTTAGTCCTTATTTTGCGGCTCCGGGTGGTTTGGGAAAATAAATTAGAAGTATTTAGCTGAAGTGTATTTTATTTGTGTTTAGTTCTTTTTAACTTGTAGTTCTAAATTGGGAGATTACTGTGATTTTGAAATATAAAAATAAAATTATATCGTATTATTTGTTCGTCGCTCAAAATAAGCGTCACACTCGCGGAAGCCGGTGTACCCGCCGAAACGCTGTGCATTTATCGAGACTTTCAACCCCAGGTGGGCCAGTTATGGATCTTCGGATCCACATTATGTCAGCAGCTCCACCGTGAACTACGTTAAAAACAAACACCGCTCACGCCTCACAGATGACAGCTTACAGTCCTGCGTGAAGATGAAAGCCTCGTTTTGCAGACGCTGTGCGCAGAGGTTCAGGACCACAAGTCTCATTGTAAACATATCACAGCAGACCCGACGATGTTTGCATGAACAAGCTTTTCAGCATCTCTTTATTGGCCGCTTTTCACACACGGTTGCTGTACACATACAGCCGGCTGTAGCTTTGCAGCTCACAGCCCGACACACACCAACACAACAGCAGAGAGAGCGCAGACTTTAAGGCGGCGAGGCGTGATTGCGGGTGCCGCTCAGGTGCGTCCGACTCCCACGCAGCGGCACTGCAGACCACGCCCCGCCACACACATTAACCAGGTAAAATACATATTTAGGTAGAATTTTGCAAATATCCATTTTTCATTTTTAGCAGCATAGTACTTTTTTCAGTTATTTTTTAAAAGTCAGGTCAAGGCTCCAAAAGCACAATGGCGATATGAGGGTGGCTCACAGCAGCTTTTGTCTGCTGGATCATTTTAGTTCAGCGTCTTTCCTTCGGTTATATTTCTTTAAGAGTTCAAAATGTGTTAATTACATAAATAAAAGGTAATTTTCTCTGTAGCACTTCATGGATTTCATAAGCAACACACCTTAGTTGCTCCGTGGATTCTTTTAAAAAGCAGTTAAAAACTTTTCTTTTCAAACAAGCCTTTTGTTGTACGTATTTTATATTCTTTACATTCTTTACATTTGATCTTTTACATTGTGTATAATGTCTATTGATTGTATTGTTTATTTTAATATTTGTGTGCAGCGCTTTGTGACTGCCTGTCTGTGAAAAGCGCTTAATGAATAAACTTTGCTTACTTAGTTGTTCACACAAAGCATAAAGGTAAAAATAACAACATATACAGTGTTATCTTCACTTTAGATTTCAAAAAGTATTCCCAGCTCCCAGTGTTTTCTTTTGCGTGGAAACCGGGTCCAAGTGGCTCTTTGGGTGTTAAAGGTTGCAGACCCCTGGTCTAAACCAAGGCTCAAAACTGAAAAACTGACATAATTTCAGATATAAGAATTGTTTTTAATACTTGAAAGCAAATCATTTGCAGTTGGTAACGGCCTGTAGAATCATTACACTAGAATGTTGTTTGCTTTTTGAGATGCTCTGCGGGTCTTTACTGCAGCACAATCAGCTGCTGCTTGTTTGTGGCTCTCTGCCTTCTGTTTTGAATTTATTAGCTGATCTCAGCCCAGCAGGGCACTTCTACAGTTAAGTCTTTCAGCCATAGAAAAATATTGCGAAATTAAGTGAGACATTTCATTTTGCAAGATGCTCTGCAGCAGTAACCTGCTGTGATACTGTAAATATGAAATGAAAGTTTTTAGATGTGATTACTAAATGCTCAATGTCCTCTGCAGGAAAATATGCCAATCCCTTCTGTTGTGATTGAGCCTGCCTCAAGTAACGAAGGTGATGATGACCGAGATGCTGACATCATCTCTCCCACTGCAATCAGTGACAATGGGGTGACAACTGAAAACCAGAACATCAAGCATATCAGTCCTTCTGGGGGAGCGTCTGGACTTCCTGATGATTTCCTTTACAAGGTGAGGCTTCTTAGTAAAAGCAAATATTTTATGCTATCAATTGAGGAGGAAAAAGACTTTTCTAATGAACTGTTAAAATGTGGAGTCTAATGTCTGTAAACTATGATGGATACCTGCAGGTGGAGACCATACACGACTTTGAGGCTGCAAATTCAGATGAACTTGACCTGAAGAGAGGCGATGTGGTTTTGGTGGTTCCCACTGCCTCAGTGGAAGATCAGGTGATAATAGCTGGTCACACAGAAATGTAATAAATAAAAGTTCTTCACCAACATGACAAACAACATCTTAACAGGATTGTTCTGATGTTTTTGTGTGTTTGCTGCAGGATGCTGGCTGGCTCACAGGGATCAAGGAAAGCGACTGGTTAACATTTGGAGCTGGTGCTCAAAAAGGACTTTTCCCAGAAAACTTTACTCAACATTTGGAGTAAGATGTTCCCTGACATGGCAAAATGATAAGTAGAAACATGAGTAATCTGTGTCCCAGCCATTGAATCAGCATGTAGCCATTCCTTTTCTTGTACGTTGTACCTGCTGCAGCTGTCTGCTGGACAAACAATAAAGTTTCTCTGGCAGGTGAAACTGTACTAAAATTAAATGTTATTGTTAAAAAAAAAAGGAAAAAAAGAAGAGAGAGAGTAGTACTCTTCCGAGTTCCCCTGATGATTTAAGCATGGTGTGGTAGTATGTTCCACCCTCCTGTGGAAGTAAGATATGCCTTTTGTTTAAATAGAAATTATATATAAAACAATAATAACTCAACAACAAAAAGCTTGAAGTGACCAGGTGAAAACAAAGGAAAAAGATAAAACTGTCTTTGCACTGTGTGGTAATCATTTTGTTTTGCTATGAAAGACTACAGAAACTTTAATGCTGTGATTTGTTTGTGAGTGCAACATGAAACTTTGGTTTCTTTTTTCTGACACGTTGTAACTGTAACTCTTGAATCACTGTTGATGTTTTCTGTGTTATCATTATTGGGTGTGTGGTGATTGATCTTTCATTTGTAATATGTGTTGATGAACTAACTCACTGACCCGTGTTGCTTTGGTTCTGCTAAGGGGATACTGATGTTTATTGTCTGGGTTTTGGCACACAAAGTAGTGCAAATGCTGCATGAAAATCCTAAATATTCAAAGTACATATACTAAAGATGACAAATAAAGAATTTCTTGTGTGTTACGCATAGATTTGTGTATGGCATATCATCTGAAAATTTGGTTACAAGAAAAAAAAAAGCAAATAAGGAAATTTTTTGTCAGCGGTTTAAGTGTTTCATCAAATAGAAGGTATTAACAAACCAGTCAGCAATTATTTTTTTAGGCTTCAGAAAAATTACTCTTATACTCTAGAAAATGTAAACCTTCATCAAACTGGTTTTGATAGCCAGGTGAAGCCTCCCAGTAGACCTTTATGTGATGCACACAGCCTTGAGATAATATTGGTGTAATGAATTAAATAGTAAATTCCATGTTTGATATTGTATATGGTTCTATGCTAATAAAATAAATAATAAAATATTAATGTTTCAATCAAGTAATTGGACCAAATGGTATCTTTAATGTTTAGAAATCAGTCAAAAGATAAAAAAGGGTATGCTATTAGAATTATGTTTTAATTATTCTTTAAAGATTTAAATGGTTTACATTAGGCTATAGCCAGCTCTAAAACAGGGTTCACTGGAAATGACTGAATAACCCTAACGCCTAGAATCCACAAATTCTGTGGCATCCTGGTAGCAGCATGCACCTGCCTGCCAAGTTTGGGCCAAAATGTGAGTTTTTAGGGGTTAAGTAATTACGCTGGGGTTAGGGGTGAAGAAAAAGGGGAAATCAAAGTTGGGAGCACGGTCCCCGAAGGGGGCCGCGCTCCAATGCACAGACCATACCTTCTCCCCTCTCAGGCGTCCAGGACCCCCCCAGTGGAGTTCCAAATGGAATGTCATAAATGCGGTTAGAGAGGTGGGGGAGGAGGGGTGTAGAAGTTAGGACGTGGGTTACGGCCCCGTCCCCCCTGGGGAGGACCGAGGTATGCGCGGTCCTTCCCTCCTGGGCCCCTCCCTCCCCGGTCCCAAGAAGACCAGTCCTGGTCCTGAGATTGGGGTCGAGAAGTCTTATTGGTCCGCACACAGGGGTTAGGTTAGGGGAAATTGAAACTCCTCCCTGCACGAGGAGGGCAGGAGTAGGTGCACGGGCCATACCGTGACCCTTCCCGCAACCTACCACGTTATCGCCACCCCGTCTTCCGTGTCCGTCACTCTCCAGGTCCAAATTCAGGTAAGTACCGTCCTTAATTAGGCTTCTCAGGTAAGTACCACATTTTAATTGTTCTTTAACCAAATTGTACTAATTTTAATTTTTCTTTCAGGTTTTCAATTGTTTTTAACTGTTTTACTTTGTTTGTAATAAATTTTCTTTTTTCCAATGATTTTTGTCTCCGTGTTATTTTTATGAGTTCCCAATCTTAGGTTTTATAGTTTCTAGGCCATAAATAAACATGAAAATGAATAAAATTTAAATAAACCTCCCCCAAAAACAACAAACTAAAATAACAAACTAAAACAACAAACAAAACATTCTTATTGATGATGCATGGCTGTCGCTAGCTTTCGGCGGTGTTGTGCCTTCCTCAGGCCGTGCACATGCATCAATGGCCAAATTCAAATAAAGGAGACTCCTCTCTGCCCCCTCCTTTTATAGTTTTTGGCTCCTCCCCACTGCACAGCATCCAAAGTGCCGGATATACGTGACTTTCTTTTTTTCTTTTTTCCACTGCTTCCTTTTGCTTAACACTATCCTTTTCCTTTCCATTTCTCCTTTCCTACCCTTCCTTTGCCTTGTGTTTCCTTTTTTCTCCTAATTCCTGCTTCCTTTCCTTTGGCTTATGCACCCTCCTTTCCTAATTACATATACGGCCTTGATTTTTGTGGGGTTAGGGTTTGGGTAAAGAAAGGGGTCCCAGGCAGAAGTCTGGGTTAGGGTTAGGGGAAATCAAAATTGGGAGCACGGACCCCGAAGGGGGCCGGGCTCCAATGCACAGACCGTACCTGTTCCCGTCTCAGGTGTCCAGGATTGCCCCAATCTCACTCAAGGGAGCTTTAAAGTGGGATCCCGTGGATGGGGTTAAAAGGTGGAGGGAGGGAGGAGAGGTAAAGAGGAGCAGGGGAAGGTTAGAATTGGGGATCAAATCCCACCTTGTGAAGAGTCAACTGAGGTTAGGGTTAGGGCCCGAAACACACTCTGCACAGGGTCTAATGAGGTTAGGGTTAGGGTTAGGTTAGGGGCCTATTGATCTTGTACAGTCACTGTTGTGAGTCCGGTGCACTGGCAACAGCTGCCTGGTCACTGTCACTCATGTCTCACCCCTTGTGTCAAAATCAGTCTATTATCACTCTCATTTGAGGATCATAATCCATAATTCAATAAAAACTTTAATCAAACTATTATATATAAGGGAGAGGGGAGTGAAAATTGGAGAATCTCCCTTCTTTGTTGTTAGTATTTCACCCTCAGTTATCTATAATAACAATAATCACACACGCAATATTGTAACTGCAGGGGTCCATAGCTAAAGCTACTTACATATAATATGTTCTTTTCTATAATTTCATAACATTGCTGCATCTTAACTATTAAGAAAGATTTAATTAAGGACACAATATTCTTTTTTTTGCCCCAGAAGGTATCTCTCCAGCTTTTATTGTCATGTCAAGAGTTTCACAAAAACAGCAATACTTGTCAATACAATTGAAAGGGAGCAATTCAGACTGCGTTCAGGCCCTGTGGATGTTGAGTTCGCAGTCTGGAAATCCACAATCTCTCATATCTCTTCCTCTGGCCCTCCGTCCATGTCGCACAGGTTTGAAGTCCCGTTATACTCAGATGTTGTAATGTGTGGATTTGGAAATGCAATACTAGTGGAGTGTCCAGTCCATTCCTCTCAATATTGTAGATATGTTGTTTTAACCTCTCCAACAGAGTCTGACCTGTTTCACCCACATAGAGTAAATGGCATTCTTCACAACAGATGCAATAAACGATGTTACTCGTGTTTAGGGACATTCTCTGTAAGATGGGTGCCCCTATTTTCCCATAAGGATTATACAAGAACCGTTTCGGTTTAAAGGCCCAATGATTGGGTTTCCCCGATCTTATGCGTCTCATCTGTTCTGGCAGCTTGGCCCTAACGAGCATATCTCTCAGATTCCTGTTCCTCCTGTGGGCCGAGATCACTCTGCAGTCTTGGAATCGTATCAAACCAGAGGTGTATTTCTTAAAATTTGTTTTAAGTTGATGATGCAATGGTAGATAGGAACGCGAGTAAGTGGTAACTAGTGGCATAAGTCTGTTCTGTTCTCCCTGTTGTATCTGATTTTGAGTCTGATTTCCCCTCATTGTATTAGAGTTTAGTCCAGCAAGGGTGCTGCTTTTAATTGTTCTAAGGAACCTACTAGAATACCCCCTCTTCCTGAGGCTCCGAAATAATATGCCAATTGCATCCTGAAGATCTGATTCCTTTGAAGAAATTCTATAGAACCTGATGATTTGGGACTTTATGATGCCCTTAAAGGTATGTTTGGGGTGGTAGCTGCTCTTGTGCAAGAGAGCATGACAATCTGTAGGTTTAAAATAAACCTTAGTGGAAATTTTCAGATTTTGACCCAGTTGTTCTAAAAATACTGTCGTGTCCAAGAAGTTGACTTGTATTGGGTGTATTTCAAATTTGACTTTGATGGAGGGATGATGACTATTAAGGATGTTGATAAATTCAGTGAATTTGTGTTCACCATGGGGCCACGCCCCTATGATGTCATCTAAGAACCTAAAATAGAAGGTTGGTTTATGCGGACACTTTCTCAGGGCCCCACATTCCCATTGGCTCATATATAGGTTAGCATAAGAAGGGGCATATCTATGCCCCATAGCTGTGCCCTGAACCTGTAAATATTGTCTCCCCGCAAA